TAGTGCCTATAAAGCACTTCAAAAAGTGGCTGCAGGGGTGCTTTTAAAGTCAAACATAAATAATGGCAGTTGCTGTTTGCAAAAGTGACAAAACTATCAGATGCAACTTCAGGCAGGGAGAATTATAGAATTGTCAACTCTTTTGCTAGAGAACACTTGTCACATTCAAAGACTGGTCTTTTGCGCAAGTGGTGTTGAAAAAGTACTTTCAGGAAAAATAAATGACCAAATCTATTATCTTCTGGATTCTGCTCCATCGCCATCTGACCTTGGACAGTTTTAGCCCTGAATATGATCATAATGACACAGGTTACTGGTACAGCCTTGTTCTTCAGGCCTACATGTATGCTATATCTTACTACACAGGTATAGCCTTGTTCTTCAGGCCTACATGTATGCTATATCTTACTCCACAGGTATAGCCTTGTTCTTCAGGCCTACATGTATGCTATATCTTACTCCACAGGTATAGCCTTGTTCTTCAGGCCTATGTGTTTGCTTTAGCTTACTACACAGGTATACGTATATAGCCTTGTTCTTTAGGCCTATGTGTATGCTATATCTTACTACACAGGTACAGCCCTCATCTTCAGGCCTAAGTGTATGCTATATCTTACTACACAGGTATAGCCTTGTTCTTTAGGCCTACGTGTAAGCAATATCTTACTACACAGGTACAGCCTTGTTCTTGAGGCCTACAGTATATGTGTATGCTATATCTTACTACACAGGTATAGCCTTGTTCCTTAGGCCTACGTGTGCTATAGCTTACAAGATGTCACATTTGTTATTGATTTTGATGATCTTGGATGACATCTTGTACCAGATGGCCTTTCACAATCGTTTGGCCTACTTTTGGGCTGTCAGGTGCAAGGTGCACTGCGATCACGCACAGAGTACATGGTCACCAAGTCTGTAACAATGGCTTCCAGGAGTCACACATAATGATTCTGAAATTAATTATTTTATAAGAAATGGTAAAATGTTGTTTTTTCAATCTAAATTCTGATAGTCCCTCGATGATAGAAAATAGATGAACTTTAAAGGTTCTAATATATACCTCTTGACAATGTAGACCTGACATCCATGTTCTTAAGGGGCTTAGGTTTGTTGGCAGTTTTATGTCACATTTTTTTTTTAAATTGTAATTAATGCATACAATTCAATATCTTATGAATTCTATGCAATAACAGATTTTTTTTTATGGTCTCAAATCTGAAAATTTCTCCGATAGATTTTTCGAATTAACATGCTGTTTAAACTGTTACCATGTTAAACTTGTTGTCATCTGATTTTTTGGTCAGATTGTTTTATAATTTATTATAGGGTCCAAAATCAAACGATTTGATTACCTGTATTCAATATATTTGTACATCACTAGGTACCGGTATTGTATACTCTGACCTAGATTAAAATCTACTACTAATTATGATTGGTCACCAATTTCACTCTAAATTTTTAAATAATTTTAATATTTAAATAATATACTGGAAAGACATTTTTGAACTGTAAAAGCAATCATGATGTGGATTGATCACCGAGATGTGATTCCATACATTAATCGACATGCATTAATAACTAGAAACTTATATATGTCTCCCCTTATTAGCCAAAAGACAAACTTTGGTATAAAAAAAAATAACAAAAGGCCATATATATCTCTTTATACAGTGGGGCACGAGACCCGAATATAGAATACGACACTCCTGCTTCCCGAGATAAATAACTTTAGCAAGTTTGGTCAACATAGGTGAAATTACATGGAACTTATGCTCTGTTCAAACTTTGGTATTAAAAATAAACAAAGGGCTATAACTCTGTATATAGTGGGGCACAAGACCTAATTCCAATGCATTGCAAACCTTCTTTGGATGATGGAGGGAAATTTCAAGTTTGATAGAGATATCTTTTAACGGTTTAGAAGTTATGCTGTGGACAAACTTTGATATAAAAAATAAACAAAGGGACATAACTCTATATATAGTGGTGCACGAGACCCAATTTCAATGCGAGATATTCCGCCTTCCTAAGATCCATGACAAACATCAGTATTAAAAGTAAGCAAAAGGGCCATAACTCTTTATATAGTGAAGCAAGATACCTCATTCCATTGCACTGCATACCTTCTGTGGGTGATGAAGGTATACTTCAAGTTTGATCAAGATATCTTAAAGGTTAAAAAAAATATGGGCTGGACAAGATTTTACTGAAAATGTTGCACTTAATTGATCTTTGATCTTAAGGTGAAGGTCACAGTGACCTATTTCCAGTGCACTGCACACCTCTGTGGGCGATACATGCATACCTTAAGTTTCATCAAGATATATTTAACGGTTTAAAAGTTATGGCCCGGACAAGTTGAGATTAGAAGAACTAGAAGTAGAAATACAATGTCTCCCTTCATTCGAAGGGGAGACATACTTATCACAATTCTAGATCATTTTATGGCAATGATGGTTAAATGTCTGCCTTCAAACCTGTTCACAAGAAGTGATATTACAGCTGTATAATTGTTGTACCACCACGGTTTATAGGGAAATTTTCACTGGAGTTAGATTCACAAAATCACAACATTTTCTGAAAAAATCATTGTGTCTTGTTTTATAACTTCAATTTAAAAACATATCTTAAATGACGAATAAAGAAAAATAAGGATTTTTTTAATAGGTAGCATATTTTCTATCGATAAACTGACTTCCGTTTTCTTTCATTTATATTTTCTAATGGCTAATAATTAGTATCACACGTTCATTAAGTGTTTCATAGTACGGAGGACATAAAAGTCAATTGGAGGAAGAATATGTCAATATCGTATCGGGACTGATATATATTACCCAGACCAGCCCTAGTTTATAGAACCCGTAGAAAACGGACAAATAGGCTGATATCTGTACAACTGTTTTAGATAACAGTTTCTAATACTGATTTACTGTATGTTTTGACAGTGATGAATGATTCTTGGCCCTTCGTATCAATATTTTGTTATTGAAAAAAATTGTAGAAACATATCTACCTGTCCAAGCTGAGTTGTGATCAATGGGTGGTCTCCCCTGATGTTAATTTATACATGTACATCTTTCATGATTTATTATCCTGTCTATGATAAACTGACATCTACGTACAAAACTTATTAACCCTTCAACAATCATCCATCAAGTTTCAAGTTTAAATTTATCTTCAGGCAAATAACACAGGATCATACTATCATAAGACTAAATGAAAATAGAAATGATGATATGAGCAACAACACCTATGAATCTGGGCGGTACAAAATGTAATGTTTGATTTACATCCTACGTTGCTCTGCTTTCCCCTATAAGCACTGTTGAATACCATTAAGGTATCCACCCCAGGATCCCTACCGCCATATGCATATATGTATATGGAACTGACTTCCTTGCAGGGACGTTGGGTCTCCGCCCCCCCCCCCCCCCCCCCAGTTGTTACTTATCATAAGACTAATTAAGGTAAGCATGCATGTATTTGTTTCTCGTTGTCTTTTATACTATTTTTTACACCCCATCATCAAAATATAAAACCTAGTAGCCCGAAACATAGGTCTCAAAGTAAATTTGCCTGTTTTATATAATTATATCTGAAGAACCCAATGCAACATTTGGGATCTTTATATTTTCTCTCTACTTCCTTACAAACTTTTTGTTTGCCGTTGGAAAGACAGCTATTGGCCTTGGTATTGAATATTTGAGCTGGTGAGGAAGGCAATGGGTTTTCCAAGGTTGGACAAAAGTACTTTAAAAATTATGGTTTCAGTTGTTATTCATTTCTAAATGTTCGGCATTTTGGGTAATTGAAACAACTCAAGGTAACTCGTCGTCAGTAAGTTGACAACTCGTCGTCAGTAAGACGACATCAGCCTTCCGCTATTACAGGGAGGCAATACATCACAATGCCCCCTACAGTACATATGTATGTATCCTTGAAGGACCTTTAGTATTAAATATGATGTTAAACTAGATATAGAATCATAGCAAATTAGTCTCCCTATTAAAAGATTACAGAGAATTAATAGCTTTTACATTCCTATATATATATCCTAAAAATAGGTAAGAGCAAAAAGTTTGGCCTGGATCATAAGTGGATGGTGTGGTGTCCAGGGGCTCAGGTTCATGTGGGATAAAACTGAAGCAGCCCGGAAAGGGCAGGTGACCGCACATTTGTATGTCCATTATGAGATTCAAACCCTGACCACCTTGGTGAAAGACAAGATTGTTATCCAACAGGTCACCCAACACCCCAAGCTCATTATTATACAGAAAAAAGGACTCCTTCTCATATTGATTTTAAAGCATGTTGATATTACCTTTAAAATTCAAAGGGTTATTAAAACACAAGTCAAATAGACAGGTTCTTTCAAAATCAAGAGTCAAATTTTTGGGGGTCAAAAATACCCTCATGATCAAGTGTTTTCTGAAATCACGATGTTTGTGTTCTTTGTTGCTAATTTTGATTGATAACAACTGGGTTTAATGTTATCACGATGCACATTTGTACAAAATAGATAGTTTTGAATGAATAGCTTTGAAGATCTATGATGTTAAACTAATATTTGATACTGGTGAATTTTCACATCAGTCCCTGGTTTTCCCCAAATCAAACTTCCTCCTTTTGAAAGACACGTATATGTATCAACATGTAGCTGAAACTAAAAAGCATGGAAACTACTAAATTTATTGTTTCCTTGTGTTTGATAATACACAGCTTTTCATTTTCTACCTCCTCAACAGAGCATAAAGGACTAGTTTCTGTCAACCCTGCATGTGCCTCAATTGCAAGCTAATTTATCATCAGAACTGGAATACATTTGAAGCAATTTAACCAGCGATATATATCTAGCCTTTTCAAAAAGGGTTTCCCGGCAATTACGGTAATCTTATTAAAACGATAGAAAATAAATAGCAATCAATTGCAGCAATATCATGAAGATGTTATCTTTTGAAAAGCACTTTTGTTGTGACTTCAATTAAGGGCTTTGGCAATACCTCAGACGTCGGCTCTTCTGTCTGCTGGTCAGGAGATGCTGCCCCAGATCCAAAGTCATTGTTTTCATACAGAGAAAACTCATTATGTGCATTGTTTTCAATTTCATCTCCTTGGTTTAATGCAGCTGTCAGCTCATCGTCCTGAATGTCCCCTTCATCCACATCTTCATTGTTATTATTATTATCATTATGTTGATTGTTAATGCTAACTACAGGTTGCTGTATCAATGTTGACGTGCTGGCAAGAAAAGCAGAGATACCCCTACCGCCATTGTTTCCATTGTCTGACGTTCTTTGCCAGTTACCAAGCCGACTTAGGGAACGCAAATCTTGAATAATGGTATCAATATTATTGTCAGGTGATTTGGGATGAATTCGTCCATGAAGAGAATCAATGTAATTATTAAAATTGGTTAAAGAAATCGCAGCAGTCTGTCCATGCAGGATGTCCTGGACTTCAGGGTAATGCCTGTAATTACGGTCTACCACATTGTTCAAATCTGTCCTCAGTAAACTAAGGAGAATAGCTATGTTGAGCAATCCGTCAGCGAAATACTCCTTGAATCTCATGCCAGCAGCTATCTGAGTTTCCGTGATAACAAGTTATATGTCATAAACACCCGCAATGGGGCTCACGTGTCCATGTTCATAAGTAAACACAAAGCACTTTGTTCTGTTTCGCGTCGCCCCCTAACTGTGGAAATGGTATGAAACCAGTCACTGAATGCCGTTTCAAAATTCCTGTTGTAGAGAAAATGACTAAGATGTATAGTTATCTCAATCCCCTTCAAGATGATCAAAATATATACCACAATATCTAATTAATTCCGATGAACTAAGAAGGTGTTTGTTGTAGTTGTGTACTTGGATGCCATGACAGTTCGTCTGCCGTGAGACACGCACATGCCTTTTTCAGTTAAATGGAATTGTCCTTCATCTAAATGTGCACCTTTCGCCCCGTGTATGATAACTCAACAAAATATGACGAAATGTCACCAGCAGTATTTACAAACATTCGAGAATATTCCTCAAAGTATGTCCAATAGCAGCGGAAGTCGTGTGTGTGAATCAGCGAATTAGAAATTGACGTCATATGGCGCATGCGTATTGTGTAGTTTTCCTTCATTTGATTTACTTCCGGTGCAAAATATTAACCCCCACCTGTCAAACCGAGCACAAACATACCTACCTGAGTATAAGGCTATTTTTTTAATCAAATCCACTGACCCTCCAAATGGATATAGACATGGCGATATGCAATACAACAAAACATTACACACATAACAAAATATCAATTGTAACACTGAAATATTGCATGATGTTATGTTTCATGAAATCAGGTCATTGATAGTTGTTTCTTCACAAGGGCGAACGAACACGAGTAAATGTCGTAATACACATCTCACGAACAAGACAATAACTTACCTGCGTTATAGCGTTGTTATTGCCGGGAACACACACCGGTTCTAATTTAATCATGTTGTCGTTTTACAGTGTTGACGATCAAGTCTCGTTGTGACCTACAGAGCTTAAAGCTCAGACACGGCGCCTTTCAACACCAATAGCAAGTTTATATTCCGTCTGTTACATTAAAGTAATGTCATCGAATCACAACCCCAGTAAATTCCTGGACATTAAAGTGAAAATATGCCACATAAATTCCACATACGAACGAACACAGCGATGACAATTCCGTGCACATCTAGCGCACTCCACTCGCATACATCAGATCCCCTCACACAACTGTACATTGGCTAAACTGTGTCACCTCGATTGAAGTATACGGGATCTGAAGTGAGAGCTCATTGGTTCATCGCCGGTCACGTGGTACGCTGATGAACAACCCCCACATGAACGAGACATTAGCGGTAGTAGTTGTATATTACAGTACCTGCATTATTTGAAATAAGCAAATGATTCGATACATTCTACAGGTGCTCATTTAACCGATAAATTATGTGTGGCATACCAAAGCGCATATGTAATTGCTAGCGATGGATATTAATATAAAATATGTCTTGTAGAAAATAGATAAATACATGAAGGCACAAACAGGTGTTTCAATATCATATACAGGGGTGTACAGCTCACCTATGTATACATCTATATGTAGCCTAAACGTTACTTCTACGGAGTATAACTGAGTACAAACACAAATTATACAGCAGGAAAAAGAGTCAACAACTTTTTAAATCCACGACATTTTGGGAAGCCAGATTTTTTTTAATCCGTAAATTGTATATTAAATACTACTAAAAGATAGATGCTCTCTAAGTCCGTGCTAGCGGCTGTTTTTTTTTATTATTCTTTTATATAGTGCCAGTTCATTTAAATAAAAAGAGAAATAACCAATTTTCAAAAGTGACTGTATTTTTCGTTTATACTTTCTTTGGTGTATACGTTAATGTTTGCACATATCTATCAGTTGTTTCGTTCATCAGATGTTTAATATGCTCTGCAAAAATAAACTATGGAATAAAATAGCATTAACCACAATTAACTCAGCTTCGTTATCTTCTGAATACAATGAGTACAGTGTATTCAGCATAACCTACAAAATGACAGAGGATACCACTGAATGCACGTCAGGGACATAGCTAGCCTTTGCGCGAAGTGAATTCGTTTAGGAATGGTTTTGGGCAGGGGAGTTCTTGGGGCCTCAATTGAAAGTAAGGATGGACTATCAATTTATTTATTTATTTCTCTTTCTTTTTCCCCATTCCATTTTTTTCCACGATCGTTATTACAAAACGAATTAGGTAACAGCCAAAGCCTATGAAATTCCTTTATACCCTATTTTTCTCTTTTGTCAAAAAGTAGAGAGTCGATATTTTCCAGGTACACATACCATCTAAAGGGACTTCAGTTGATGAATATACACAGTAAAGTATACTTTAAACACACGCAGCTCCGATAGAACCACAGTGCATTGTCGTTCGGGTGCACGAGTGATCAATTACATCCACCTATATAACTCGAGTATTGACAATGGCGCTCTGTACTAGCTTGACACTCAAATCATTATATGTAGTACTTATAGTGTACGTACCTGCTCCGAACTACATTATATACCCCTCACTATACCCCGTACATGTACATTATATCATTGGCAAATTGCCATTGTATGCACAGATGTGCAGAAAAGGCCCTCAAACAGGTAATACGATATATAGATACATGGGAACCACAACGTCTTACCTGGTAATATTCAAGTGAGGGTATAGAAGGGGGATGGTTGAGATATATACGACTTCAGAATACAAAAGGATAGAAGGGATGTTAAGTAAAAATAGAAATTAAGAATTTAATTGTTTGATGTACAGATCGAGCCAAGCAACGAAACATATTTCGTCAGTTTAAGACTCACCAGTGGTACTAAGTCTAAGGGCAAACGAAGGAAAATCCATGTCAAATGTATTCGAAAAAAATATATGTAAAAATGCAGCAAAATGGAAAGGTACAATAAAACGTTCTCCCACACAACCGTTAGGAGTTCCCTCACTCCCGACTCATTGGATAGCTGTACAAGTGGGCAACACCCTGGAAGTTATATCAATGGGTAAATCTTCTAATTATGGCGTCAAGTAACAGTGCTTTGCGACGTCATCTTCCATTGTGACGTCATGGTTCATGGCAACGGTTTCTCCGATCGGAAACATGAATAATGTATTCTCAAGGGAAACACATGGGTTTCTAGATATACTATCTAAACGTTGTGAGAATAAAAGGTCCCCAAACTCGTGATGGTTCATTATCATGTTTATCTAAGTCTCGTGAGTTAGTTTTCAAATTAGATAAAGATACTGTAGGTTAACCTCGTATCTTATCGAATTTGAACATTAACCATCTCTAGTTAGATCAATATATTAACCGACAACCACTCGTAGGAGAACCTTTACTTATCGCGTTGAAAATATAAAACTTTTGATTGCAGGAGATAAAATAATTCAAAGCTAGTTATTCCAGCTACAAAGTTTTGGCCTACGTCGGGATTGATATCCACCAGCAGGTTTATCGGCCTTGTTACGTATAAGAATGGCTAGATAAAACGCCGTAAAGAAGTACACATTAATTAAAAAAATACATGTTAATGCAAAAGCTAAATAAGTAAAGATTTACTGCATTATATGTCCAACGGATCTTTCAGTGGAATCAAGACAAACAAATGAAAATTTCGGTAAAAAGTTTGAAACATAAAAATAATACAGAAAACAGAGAGGGAAGGTTATAAAACGCTTTACTACGTTCAATTAACAGCTTTGGGTTACAACAGAAAATAACTTAAGATAGAGTCTATTTATAAGTAACCCATGTCAGAATGCATGTATCAGGGTAACGAGAAGACGATGTATAGATATAAAGGGGGCAGTATATAGAGGGGACGGAGTATAGAAGGGACGGTGTCCAGAGAAATGAAGTACAGAATAAACGGAATATAGAAAGGACAGTGCCTAGAGGGGACGGAGTACAAAGAAGACAGAGTATAGAAGGGAAAGTGTCTTGAGGGGTCGGATTATAGAAGGGACGGTGTCTAGAGGGGGCGAAGTGCAGAGATGACGAAGTATAGAAGGGACGGTGTTTAGAGGGGGTGGAATACAGAGGTGAAGGTGTCTAGAAAGGGCGGTTTTTAATGGAGGCAGAGTACAGAGAAAACGGAATGTAGAAGGGACGGTGTGTGGAGGGGGCGGTGCACAAAAAAGACGGATAATAGAAGGGAGATAGAACAGAAAAGACAAAGTATTCAAGGAACGGTGTCTAGAGTGGTTGGAGTACAACGAAGACGGAATATAGAAGGGACAGAGTACAGAAAAGACATAGTATAGAAGGGTCGGTGTAAAGAGGTGGTGCCGTATAAAGAACACGGAGAACAGAGAAGACGGAGTATATAAGGGACGGTGTCTAGAGGGGGTGGAGTACAAAGAAGACGGAGTATAGAAGGAGACGGAGTATAGAAGGGACGGTGTTTAGAGTGGGCGGATTACAGAGACGACGGAGTATAGAAGGGACGGTATGTAGAGGGGGCGGAGTACAGAGAAGACGGAGTTTAGAAGGGACGGTTTCAAGAGGGGACGGAGTACAAAGAAGACGGAATATATATAAGGGATGGTGTCTAGAGGGGACGGATTACAGCGATGATAGACCATAGAAGGGACGATGTGTATAGTGGGCGTAGTACAGAGACGACGTAGTATAGAAGGGACGGTGTCTAGAGGGGACGGAGTACAAAGACGAATTATAAAAAGGATGGGACGGAGTACAGAGTAGGCGGAGTATAGATTGGACGGTGTCTAGAGGGAGCGGAGTACAGAGAAGACAGTGTATAGAAGGGACGGTGTCTAGAGGGTCAGAGTACAGAGAAGACAGAAAACATATTACAGAAGGGATGGTGTCTAGAGGGGGCGCTGTATACAGAAGAAGGAGTATAGAAACGACTGTGTCTTAAAGGGACGGAGTACAGAGACATCGGAGTATAGAAGCGAAGGTGTCTAGAGTGGAGGGAGTACAAAGAATACAGAGTATAGAAGGAACGGTTTCTAGAGGGGACGGATTACAGAGAAAACGGAGTAAAGAAAGGATGGTTTCTAGAGGGGACGGAACACAGAGAAGACGGAGTATAGAAGGGACGGTTTCTCGACGGAGCGGAGTACAGAGAAGGCAAAATATGTATATAAGAGACAGTGTCTTGATGGAGTTGAGTGCAGAGAAGACAAAGTATCTTTTGGACGGTGGCTAGAGGGAACGGAATACAGAGAAGACAATGTGTATAAGAGACGGTGTCTAGAGGGGCGGAGTACAGAGAAGACTGAGCATAGAAGGGACGGTGTATAGAGGGTGCGGAGTACAGAGAAGACGGATTATAGAAAGAACGTTGTCTAGAGGGAACGGACTTTAGACGGTGGCTAGCGTGGAAGGAGTACAGAGAAGACGGAATAAAGCGGGCGTAGTACAGAGAAGACAGTGTTTAGAAGGGACGGTGTCTTTAGGAGGTCGGAGTTCAGAGAAGACAGTGTATAAAAAAGATGGAACGGATAACAGAGAAGGCGGAGTATAGATTGGACGGTGTCTAGAGGGAGCGGAGTACAGAGAAGACAGTGTATGGA